ATTGTAAGCTTTCTTTTGAATATTAAATCATCAAGATAACTTTAAAATTCATCGATATATGAACTGTGAAAGTTAAGATATTGATTTTTTTTTCAAATATAGATCTGCTTAATTTCTATTGATAGCAACCCATATATTCATTTTTGATAACTATATATTATTAAAAAATATTTTAATTAATATAATATATTGTATATTACAAAATTTCAATAAAATAAACTTTTTATTAAAAAATTTACTAACTAAAACATGTTCAATAAAATTGTCATAATCCTAAATATTCATAGAACCTTCTTGGATACTATATACATACTAAAAACCCATCAATACATAATGCACCTTTGATTGTAAATTGCTTTCTTTACACAAAAAATATGTATTGTTGAGTATGTAACCCTAAAAAATTCCAACCATACTGATATGAAAATGTTCTTTGATCATAGGCTGATTCATCTGAAAAAACTAATTGATCTGATGTATATTGAGACATTTGCAAAATAAAATTATTTCTATCAACCTTATTTCACTCTTTTACATGTTTTAAAATCTATAATATATATAAACAAATTTTAATATAAGTTTGTAAAATAAAATACCTCTATATAAAAGATTTTACCTGTTTGTGTGTATATCCAAGTCTATGAATAGCTCTCCAAATCATCGAAATACTGATTTTATGACTTAACCAAAGTTTTATTTCTGATTGCAGCTCATATAAATACTAATCAGGTCTTTTTTTCAATAAAGTTTGAAAATATTTCATATCATCTACATTTAATAAACATGGTCTTCCTATTAGTGATGGAAGTTCTTCAACGCATCCATATTTCTGAAATTGTTTAAGAACTCGACCAACAGAAGACTTGCTAACACCTAAGTGTTTTGCAATTACTCGAACTGGCAAGCCTTCTAAAGTTTTTTCGACTATTAGCCAACGAATACGCTTTGAAAGAATCATATTTGACAATTTAATAAACTGTATAACAGTAATTTTAATATCAATATTTATATGTATTGTGTAACGAAAGTGCTGGTACATTTCTTTTTTATATGCCGATCATACCTAAATCAAAAGCTTATGTACCGAGATTAAAAACTTATCGAATTCGGCAAAATTAATTTCGGCCAAATTTTTATCAGTTGTCCCAGAATTTATGAGAACAACTGTAACTGATAAATCAAATCCATGTTTAATACGTGTACGTGTGTACGTACAAAATTTGTCATTGTTGCTATTTTAGGTATTATCTGACCAAAGCAGTCATGATTATCCCTTAACGTTAAAACTGTTTTTGCTGTCTGCCAATTTCATGATTGATCTGTGATTAGCTACAAAATTATACTGGATTGTAGTCTATATCATAGTAGTACTGGGATAATATAACAATCAATTCAGTAAATTTTTATAAAATCATAATATCATAACATAATGTTACGTAGTCATTAGGGCATGACGGGTCATAGGTCAATATTGAGTGGCTGCAACAAGTAACACCTTGATATATCCTTGTATTAGAATCCATTCTAGACAGTACACTTCGTTTCACTCCGTTCTTGGTACTTTTGAAAATTTTAATGTCACTACCGATAAAATGGTTCATACCGAGTTAATGGTAATTTATAATTATTATTGAATTGATAACAATAAAATATTAACTTGCTTGTATTTAGATCACAGAAAAACCTTCGTTGGCTAAATCATTGGTGAAGGCTTTAGCACCCTATGGAAAGGTATAATCTATTATGTTTCCATATGTTGTTGAAATATTCTCATGCAATTGATCATTCGACAGAAAATCAACGAACAATACAAACGAGGATTGCCTATTTATAGTTTTACTCGCGAGTATCGTGGTTCTAGACATGTTGTCAAATTTATTTCTACTACAGGTTTTAGTCTATATAATTTTTCTTTTTATATTCATAAATATTTTGAATAGTTAACAAAATAATTCATTTAAACATGATCGAACAGGACACATTTATAGGTTTGATAGTCGTAAATACTTGATATTAACAAAAATAATAATAATCCTTGATATATCAATATATTATATTGTGTTTTTTTTTAGCTTGGGCTTCAAAGGAAGATACCAAGATTGGAATACTGACCCGGCAAAATTATTTACTACGCCTTTAGAAAATCAAGAAGCTTCAAGTGTACGTCTATTATGTAATTCTGAAGTCTTATAAATTATTAAATATACATAAAAAAATGGTAATGCATTTTAATTTTATATAGGGAAATGTTTTTGAGAATTTAAAAGATGAACTTGAAGGCAAGTTACTTAAATTATTGTAACTTGATTAAATAAACTATTCAACTAAATTATGTATTAAATTAGGCGCTGATTCCATTGTCTTTTGGATGGACTCCAGCAGCGAAGGGGAATATACGATTTTCCAAATAATTGATCTAATTGATGAAATGAAAAAAACGAAAACCCTACCTACCAATTTCTTACGTGCAAAGTTTTCTGGTATTAAATTTTATTATTACAGTAATACTATTTTTAATATTTATTGATTTTATTTATCAAATTTCTAGAAATTACTAGATCAAAAATACAGGAAGCATATGAAAATTTGGTTTTACCAAATAAAAATGAATCCTTATGTACGTATCGATGTAAATATCATTTTATTTTCTGTAACTAGTGACTAATAAAATTTATATTTATAGCTGTACAAGCACTTAAAGAATTTGATCTTAGAGAAAGTCTCATCACTAGAATTTTCTTATATGTATTTGAGTACTTTCTGTTATTATGATCCTTCATTATTTTTTGTGGCAGGTTGGATGTGCTTTTACCCGATTTCAAACAAAGTATTTTAACGGGAAACATGGAAATCCCAATTTTCATACAATTTCTTACGGACCCTGTCAGATACCTGCACTTTCTTTCTGTGTGGATCGAAATGACGAAATTCAAAGATTTATTTCTCAACCTTGTTGGGATTTGTCAATTACTGTTGCTAAGCGAAATGGCCGTAAAGTAATTCTTAACTGGAAGAAAAATGAAAAAAACATTGATGATATTACAATGCTACAATTACAAAATAGAATTAAAAAATGTAAAAAAGCAAGGTCAGTTGTTCAATTTATAAATATTTATGTACTTTAATTTTATTAACCAATTTTATATCTTTAGAGTAAAACATTTTTATAAAACAATAACTACAAAACATAGACCTGACGCTTTAAACATGGTATAAATTCTTCCTTGTATTTCATTAAGCATCATAACTCAAATAAAAAAATTTACATAAAACTTACTTATTTTAACATAAAAGGTTGAGATGCTTGAATATTGTTCGTTGGAACTTGGCATTGGGCCTTATGCGGCTGTAAGCATAAATAAACATTTGTCATTATTTTTCACAGATTTTAATATTTAATTGCATAGTTATTTTTATAATATAGATGTCCATAGCAGAAAAACTATATGAAAAAGGCTATATTACAAATCCGCGTACTAATACAACTATTTATTCTAAGAATTTCGATTTCGATTCAAGACTAGAATCTTTGTCAGGTCATAATGAATGGTAATTAAACATTATTATACCAATATAATATAAATTGAACAATGATATACTATAATTATGTAGGGGTTCATACACTAAAGAGCTGCTGAAAAATAAGCTTAATAGACCAACAGGACACACAATTGAAGGCATGTATATAGTGATTTTATCTTTGAATCATGTAATAATAATAATAGTAATAATTATATAAATCACTAGATCAACAGCCTATGTTTGTATTATTATAATTATAATTTCAGGCAGAGAAATGAAATTTAAAGATACTTTCTAATATATATGTTCTGTCATTACTGACGTTATTGATTTGCAGAGTACCTGTGAAGTTAGCGCGTGCTGCTGACTTAAGTGAGGAACAGCAAAAACTTTACAACTATATAACTCGGCATTTTCTTGGTTCTTTGAGTTCCGATATAGAATTAGAAGAGAAACTCATCATTGTAGAGATTGAAGATGAATCATTCGAGTGTTCTGGTAGTATTAATTAAATCATTCATTATTTTTTATAGAGTTAATGACATTCGTACTTATAGGGTTGAGAGTATTAAAACCCGGTTTCACTAAGATTATGGATTGGTATGTATTGTTTTGATTATAATAGTCGAATTTTGTTGCAGTTGATGCCAATTGATACATTATTTCTATATCACCTATGTCGTATAAATACTAATCCACGTACGTACGTACGTATTAGAGTTGTCGGTGAAGCTGGTGACTATCTACGATCTGATTGGTTGTTCTACTAGAGCAGCCAATCAGGTTTTAGATAGTCACCAGTTTCACCAGCACGTACTGTACATACATACCAATACGTATATATCGTATATTCCATAGACTTTTAAGTTATCTATAGTGATAAAAAATTAAAATATAGCCCGGGTTGATCTCCTGAATAATTTGCGTAATCCTGATTGAAATTCCAGCATTAGCATTAACTGTACAATTCTTTAAATAACTTTACAATAAATAAATAACAATTGGCTCACATTTATGAATCTAGGAGAAAAATTGATGAAGTGATTCTATCAGATTTTAAAGAACATGAAGTTATCAATATTATTAGCGTTGAATTAATTGAGGAGAAAAAAAGACCACCGGAATACCTAAAAGAAAGCGAATTGATTAAATTGGTAAAGGCAATCATTTATATAAAATATTTATAATTTTTTGTATACTTACTTTTTTATAAAATTTAGATGGGTAAATGCAATATAGGAACACAACATTCCATACCAACTCATATTGAAAATATATGCAAGCGAAATTATGTTATGGTAAGATGTCTAATTATATCACCTATATTCCAATTTATGCGAATGAGATATTTATTGTTTTCATAGGTTCAAGGTGCCAACCGTTATTTGGTTCCGACTGATTTGGGTAGTGTTTACATTCTTATACAAAAAGCTTTTATAAGACATTAATTTACTTACTAGTTTTTATTATTGAAGGGATTGTTTTGATTCATGGGTTGGTATAATAATATTTATATCATTTTGTTATAAAAATAAATTGCATTTGAATTTTCATATTCACATCTTTATATTCAAATTTTAGTTACAGTATCCTTTATTTTTCTTAAATATTTATTATCATTATTATATTTTGTCGCATATTTACACTTGATAATTTTAAGAAAAAATTGATCCAGATTTGTCTGATCCTAAAGAGCGAAATAAGATTGAATTGAAATTGAGATCTATTGCAAATGGTGCAGACTATAAGGAAGTCTTGAAGCCTATACTAAAATCATATGCTAACAAATTCAAAACCTTTAGAAAACAGGTTAGTAAAGCATGATAATTTCGCAATAATAAAAACTTTTCTTTACACTTTATATTTATGATTTTAGATTGCGACAATGGACAAATTGATTAAAGTGACATTATCATCATATGCAACTTCTGAAAAAATTCTTTCAGAATGCGTTAAATGCCAAAAGAAAAATAAAACTTGGTATATATAATAAATAAATTCTTACTTCATTTTAATTATAATTATATATTTTTTTATTTAAATTTGCTTGAACTTTTAATTTAACAGTTGCGTAAGATATACTACATTAAAGTAAGTAAATATTTATTTAATTTTAATATGCTAAGTGTTTATTATATTTTGTTAATTATATTATTTTTAGGCCCACATACTTGGAGTGTTCAGCTTGCAAAAAGGTTTATTCGCATCCATATATGAAGCATATTGAGGTATTTTATTTTATGTCAAAGAAATAAACAATTTATTTATCTATGGAATAAATGGTTAATATTCTTTATATATTATTAGAATCCAAGAAAATTTTTATGTGTAAGAAAATGTTATAAATACGTACAGGACGAATCTAATTGTAACACGCCTTATTTATAACACCTTATTTAGTATAGCCAATAAAAATAAATAAAAACCAAACCCTAAATCTAAATTCTATTGGCTAGCTACAGGGTGTTACATATAACAACTGTTACGAATACATTTTTTATAAATATATTTATTTATAATATTTAATTTTGATATTTTTACCCAAAATAGCCTATTGATGGTAGAAAAGTAGAAATCTCTACTAGTCCTGCAAATACTGTCTATTCATTATGCGTATATTGCCTTTATCCCCCGAAAATTAATGAATTAGAAGGTTAGTAAAGTTTATGTTAGGATTTTCTTTATTAGAGTTACAATACTTAATGATACATATTACATTACATATATTATTATTGTTTTTAATAATTAAGGTTTGGTAAAGTATTGCGATCATAATCCATGCATACATTCATTAATTAATAATGGAGTATGTAAATGTCCAATGGAATGTGGAGGCCAGATTGTTTTAGATACAACATCATCAGGATTAGATTTGTCATATTTGTCAACCCATCATAGGCCAAACAATCATGATAGATGGGGTCTCCGTTTGTCAGGAAAACCTTTACTCAAATGGAAATTATCTTGTGAAAATAATAATTGTTTTGAAATATTATTTTTAGATGATGTTATAGGTAAATATATACAAAGAAAAATAACTTTATTTTCCTCTAATTTATGAATTCTTTTAATTCAAAGGTGTTTCTATATTGAACGGTAAATTTTGCGATAACGAAGATTGTATCTCACAACTCTTAAGGTTGGAAACTTCTAAACAAGAAAGTTTAGAAGGTTGTATTTTATGTGATGAACACATTTATCCATTATATGTAAAAATTACCACATTAACGAACGAAGATGAAGAATTTACTAAGATTTGTACAAAAGCAAATTGCTCTTCACGAAAGATAAAGGTAGAATATTATAATAATAATGTAAAGAAAGAATACAAAAAATGTATAGTATGTGATGAAGTCTTAACAAATAGGTAAATACTTGGATCTTTTTTATTCCGCCATGTATATTGTTTTTACAATTATATTGACTTATTATTCTAAAGATGTTACAGATATGACTACCCTGATTGAATAAATTTTGATGAAAATGAGGAATTATAAGATAGTAAAAAAGAAAAATAATTTTTTGTTCAAATAGTTTTTATAGCGGATCTTTTAAATTTGAGGGGTTTTTTTTTTTTTTGAAATACATGTTCTGATAACATTGATTTTCATTTTTTATATCTTATTTTATATAAAAATATAGTTAACTATTCGTAGCTTTATGTTAAATATTTGTGGAAAAATAACTAGATCTAAATATAAATGTTTGTATAGCAGAACCACTTTGTCTCAATTCTGCTTATTGAAAAATAATAAATAGCGATAGCGATAAGAAATTAAAAAATATCCTTACTATTACGGTACTTTGCGAATCTAATAATTACTATTTGGGATTCTACCTGATCCCAAACTAGTAAGCTTCCCAGTAATGATAAATTGATAAGAGATACTGATACGTGGTTGTGATCATCCAACCAGAAATCTTTATTCTGCATCAGCCGCCGACTCAATTCTTATTTGTGCCGGTAATACAAACTCCTAAAAAGAAAATAGCCAATCAGTGAATTCAAATTTTGATCGTTCCGGATC